TACTAATAATTTTATATATCATATATATATCATATTAGTAATTGATGATTTATGATATAAAACATGTGAATCTGATTAATCAATTAAATTTTATAAAATTAAAAATCAATCTATGATGATCTGCAAAAAATTAATCAATTAGATAAACTTCTGTCTATGAGCATCTATGTACTGGCTATATATGGTTAATAATTTTGCGTGATATGATCTGATATGTGCACACACAATTTTAGAATAATTATTCATACAGTATGGGACAACATAAGATATCCACTTTTAGCTAGCTTACAAAAAATCTTATAACTTTTGAACAAATAATTAAACTCTCTTACAAATTGATAGATCTTTAGTAAAGCTATAATTCTGTAAGAGCATTTTTTATTTTAATTTTTATAATAAAGTTAGAAAATTAACACAGAGATACATCAATTTTGCATGTAATTTTATCACGTGTTTGTAATTTTATTGGTCAGAATTAATTATATTAATTATAATTTAGACTGGCATTATTATAATACTAATTTGGACTGTATGTGATAATAATGCATACTTTTCAAAGGATTTGGTAATATTATATATTTTGAAAAATATATGTTTTAAAGAAATTATTTTATTATATTAAGAAAAATTATTTTATTAGATTGAGATGATTATTTTATTATTTTAAGAATATCATTTTCTTATTATGTCAAGACTTTTAAAACTTAAAAGATATCAATGGAAAAGAGTATTTATAGCTCATTCAGTCTGACTAGCATATATAAAATTCTTTCTTTTCTTAATTTTCTCTATAATTTTCTTTTTTTTATTAATTTATTTACAACTTATTCTTATATTATCACTTTTTTAAATATTTTTTCTTTTAATCTAGTTAATCTTTGATTTAAGCAAAGAATATTCATATATTATTATTTTTTTAGATATTTTCTCTTCTAAGAATTTTATTGATCTTGACTTAAGTAAAAAATATGAAAATATCAATTTTGAAGATAATAATCTCAAAGATGATTTTTAAGAAAATAATAATAAATTAGATAATATCAAGATAAATGAAAATTCTATAATTAATTGACTTTTTGTAATGACAGCAGTGAGCTTTAAGAAAAAAGAGCATCTAGCTATTTATATTGATAATTTAAAATAGATATAATAAAGAAAAAATAAAAAATTAAGAAAAGTGATAGCAAAAAGTTCAAAAATTTCACAATTCTTTCATATTACTAGCAAAGATATCAGAAATAATAATAGTACTGAATTAGAGTTAATCAAAGATGAAAATATATATAAGATAATTAAATTTGTAAATGGAATAATACTTGATAAAATGCTTTTTAAAACTTAAATTACTCATTATATGATAATTCTTTATTTTTTTTCAATTATAACTTAATAATAAAAAGAAAATTAAAACAATAAAAATAATTTTAAAAATAATTAATGGTGAATTATAACTTGCAAAATATATAAGAAAGTAGATAAATATCTGTATAAAAGAGAAATTAATCTAGCTAACTGCTTGAAAGAGATTTTTCTTCAAAAATCTACTTCATGATAAGCTGATTTCTCTCTAATTAGCTACTTATCTATATATTTAAAAGTTCAATATGAATCTAATAATAGTCAAGAAATATTTTGAATAATACATTCTTTCTCAGTTGAATATTAAATCTATCTAACATATTTTAATCTAAATTACTTGTTAATAGATGCATAAACTTGATTTTTAATATAAATATCAAAAAGATATTTATATAGATAAATATAAATAATCTAATATAATTATTTATTATTAAATTTTTCTTCAAGAGGTTATTAAACTTAATCAACTTATATTTAAGTGACTTGATAAAGATTATAAGATAAGAATTTTTCTATATTTGAATAATAATAAGAAAGAATATATATAGATAACTTAAGATAAATCAATTTTTTATACTTATAATAAATCATATATTGTGTAAAGTTCTAAAGAAGAATAGCCATTATGAAAAAAAGAATTAGATCTTGATATGCATATAAGTAATTTATTACTTAAAAAGAAATATATATAATAATGATACTTAGTACTAATTAAGATATATTTTGAAATTTCAGAAAACTTCTTAAACAAGTTATACAGATAATAAATATCTTTGAATGAACATATCTGAAGAATATAAATATATTTACCTTTGATAATACTATTTTTTATATAGTTTTTGCTAAAGATATTCTTGTAATTTTAAAAATAAATTTTAATTCAGAAGAATCAGTTTCAAAAATATAAGATATGATATGAAGTGATAGTTATTAATCAATAGTTATTAAAAAAAATTACTTCATTTATAATAAGAAGACAAAATTCAATATTAACTTATATAATTAATCTAAAGAAATCCAGTAAATTCTTAGTGAAAAAGGATTGTAACAAGAGATAATAGTGCTAGAATATACTTTATGCAAGAAAAAAGAGACAGATTCTAATATTATTAATTATTATGCATATTATTTAATAGTTAATCAGCCAGATTTTCTTATATAATATGATCAAATTCAACAAGAAATTGAATCTCATGAACATAAGATAATTTTGTTACCTTTAATTATTTTTTTTCAACTAGTCTGATCTTAATAATATTATTTGTTCTTAAATTATATTCTATTTCAAGTTTTATTCTGAATTTAACTATATTAAGATATATTAAGGAGTGATCAAGAAGTATATTTGATCTTATTATAAGTACTTATTATCAAAAATTAGAAAATAGTCTCTCAAGTATTTGATTCTATTCTTATAAAAAGAATTTATTCTTTTGTTAGACTATTATTTAGATAGATGAATGCTTATTATTATAATTTAACTAGAAAAGTAATAGAATATATAATCAGAAAGCATAAGAGATATAGATCAATTAATAAAGAGATTATGAAATAAGTTATTAAATTAATAAAGAGAATTGGATATAATAAAAAGTAAAGAGTATATTTTACTATATCTGATCAATAAATATTAAGAATATGTATTATGATTAAAGATAGCTCCTCAACTAGTTGTGACTTGCAGTAGTCAATCAGAGAATTGTGATAGAGTTGCAACTAGTTACAACTCCCATCACTAATTATGATGACAGATATTTTTATTTTTTGATATAATTATTCTTATTTTACTATAAGAGATATTCTTTACTTGCTTTATCTATATATAGACTGACAAATATTAATTAAATAACATGATAATTTAACTTCTGCTAGTCTTATTATAAAGATCAGTATTAATTTATCATTAGTTATATAATTAATTATATTACTATATAATACTAAAGTTAGGATTAAAATTTAATATTTTATATAATAAATTAGATATCTTATACTATTCTATATTATAGTAATAATATATAATCTAAGGTTAATTTGATGATATTTATGAAAGAGTATGTAATCTTCAGAACTTTAAAGTTGCTAAACAGAAAAAATAACTATCTATTAATGAGATTGAATATAATTTGTGAATATTGAAAGGGAATCTTTAAAAAAAGTAAAGCTGAATATATTAAATTATTATGAAAAAATATAGATAAGATTAAATTTTCAGAGTTTTCATGATGACATTCACTTGCAAGCCAGGTTATCAGCAATAAAGAGGAGATGATTAAGCAATTATCAAAAGAAAAGTATGAATCTTTTATGATAAGAACAAAATCTACTTTTTACATAATAAAGATTATGCTTAAATGAATATATTCTAGAAACTGATAAAATATATGAAAAAATCTCTTTCTAATTCAATAAAAATAATATGTGAAGAATTTTTATTAAACTATGATGATGGCACTATGGAGATATCTTCTCAAAAACTTTCACATGTAAGTTGGATGGAGAAGAAAGAAATTCTTAAGAATATTTTGATCAGGATTCTTGATACTCTGTAAGTATAATATTAAATTTAATAATGTTAACCCATTCAAAATATATACATTATTAATTTTTTTTATGCTATAGAGGGAAGATTTGGAAAAATCCAGCTTTTAGTCCTAAATTTGCTAAAACACAGAGTGAGAGAACATATGTTACAGATATCATTGTTCCTATTATTAGAAGGATCTGCCAATTGGAAAATCTGCGTATATTAGCACGTGAGTGAACTCCATTATTTTTCTGAAGGTATTTTTACTTCTATTTATTATGTTACAGGGCAGAACCGTGGCTAGCAAAGACAGAAGAGGAGAAAGAGGAAAACGTCCAGATATTATGTTTATAGCTAGGCATGAGGAGAGAATTTACGAATTAATATTTGCTGAATGTTCTCGTATTGTTTGTAGCGACGAAAAAGAAGATGATGATAGAGTAAAATTGTGGCGTGAACTTAATGACGGACTTTATTGGGCGAATAGGGGGTGTAGATTAGATGAAAATGAGTTTGGCATTCTCGGATTCCAAGTTGCAGGACGAAAGTTTAATCTGTATATTCTTATTTAAAGACCATGAAGACATAAGTCGTCTTTTCCTTTTACGTTCTGCAGAAATTCCAACACAATATACAGATAACAAAAAAACTATGTAGAGGCTTTGTTGTTGCTACGAGTATGTATTTGTTTATATTCAATCGTATATATTCGCAATATTTATTTACTAATTTCTTTAATTTTCAGAGAATCCTGATTGTTGATCTGTCTTTGCTATTTAATTCTAGAACACGTGGAAGTGATAAGAGTAGTTCGACAATATCATCTCCCCCATATGATAATTAGAATTTATTTTTATTTTTTCTAACGATGTATGTCATGTATATTTGATCGAGACTTTTTTATCCTGTATATTATTTTTATTATATCAAGTGAATAAAACTGGCCCTACTGGCTCGATTTCGCTTATATACATATATAATCGTGTTTACTTTTGCTTATGTATTTCGGGATTTGTTACGTTGTATATATATTAACCCACATATTTGATCGAGAATATTATGCTACGAAAAAGTCAATATCTAATTTGAATTAATTTACGATCATGTAAAACGTTAATATGGAAGAACAAAGCACAGAATCAAAAACTCATAAAACATTAACTCCTGAATATTTGGAGTGGAAGCTGAAATTACTGTAGCGCCAGGTATTTCGATAGATGAGATTCGTCCTAAGTTGTATAGAAGATATAAGAATAAAACTGGTCTCGATCCATGGAAAAATGATAACGTAGATAAACCCTTAACCCCTGAATATTTGGACTGGTATGCTAAATTACCTGAACCACCAAGTTCTTTGACTGATAAAATTCGTTTGATCTTATATAGAGAATATACGGAAGCGACTGGGCTCGATCCCTGGATAAAATCTGAAACTTCAGTTTGTGAGAAACCAGAAATTAATTCGAAGCTGTTAGATGAGATTACTGAACTTAGAAAGGAGAATATCAAAATTAAAACCGAGAATACAGAGTTAAAACAGGATTTAGATAAATTTAAAAAAGAACTAGAGTCTAAGAAAAATCGTAAATTCCAGGAAAAATGTATCCTAATAGCTCAAATATTACTTGGAGAAAAGCCGATAATTGAGTATCGTCCTCCCTTCTTGAATGGATTAGAACTTGATGCCTTCTTTCAAAAATATCGAATTGCATTAGAAGTGCAAGGGAATCAACATCGGCTTCATCACACCAGCTGGTATAAAGATGTCAAGAAACTCGAGGATACTGTTGATCGTGATCGGAAGAAAAGATGCACGTGTCAAGATAACGGAATTTTTCTTCTAGAAGTGTGGTACGATGAAAAGCCAGAAATTGTTATTCCGGAAAGGATACAAAAAATTAAGGGATTCGTTAACCAAGCGATTAAAAACTTTGACCTATAATCAATATGTAATATAAAACTTAATATCTAAATTGCAGACAAGTGTATAATATATAACTCATATATATTTTTCCGATGTATTGCAAATTTTTAACAGATCGGGAAAGGCTGGTTGGTGAAGAGTTGTTACGTTGCGGTATACTAAAGAGTGGTTTAAGTACTGCATGGCTTGATGAACTAATGAAAGAATGGGAAGAAATCCACGATAACAACGAAGGCATAGATTATCAATTTTATAACACTGCTACATTTTTCCATGATCACATGCGGTTTCTCCCTTGGGCTCTATATCACATGCATAACCTCAGACAAATTTTATTAATTTCAGAAAAACTGGACACGCGTGTCCGGGCGCAGTAGACACGTTTTTATTGGTGTAAAAAACATGTATACAGTATATTCACGAAACAATCATTTTACATTTAAAACCCCAACAATCACTTGATCAATATTATCTAGAGATAGATTAAAAATAGACCTTGCCGGGATACCTCCAACGCCCATAAAAAGCTTATATACCTTTTCGGCTCTTTCCCCCTTCTTTCACAAAGCATCATCATTAAGACCAACTTTTTCTTTTCTCTGGCATTTCCCAAATCTTCACATCCGGATGCTTAGATTTCAACCTAATTTTTTGTCTTTTTCAAATGTGTTTTGTTATCGAAGTACAAGTATATAGTCGGTCCTTCTTTCCTGAATCATCATCCAAATAATTCTAATAAATCAAAACATTCCATTATTTCATCATCTTGTCATTTTGCGAGTGTTTCACCATCAGTTATTTCAAGGGTACAACTTCTTCCTGATGGATCCTGTTCATATGCATATGTAAAATGCCGGTAAAAATTATCCAGAGAAAAAAAGGAATTTCTCAAGAGGTCACCGGATATCCCTAAATAAATGAGGCAATTCCTTAGAGTACTAACATAAAAAAAAACAATATTTCATACCTGATAACCAAAATCACACTTCAATCTTCCAATTATTATCTCGGGCCCAATTTATCGCAGGAGTATAATCACTATCGCCGGCAATTATAAGAACTATACCAGGATCCTTCAAATAAATGACATCCACTATAGAAAGTTCAAGTTCCATATTGACTTTCTTTTCTTTATTTGCAATACGATCATAAATGATCACATCAAAATCTTGATTTCGAACCCTATCCCATAGTGAATCATTCCAAGATGGACGAGAGCCAACAATCACCAGATTACTTCCTATTTTTCGTTCTTTTATTACTGTTAATAGAAGGCGTCCATGATCGACATAGAGCTGGTTGAGTTGGTAGAAATTTCTTTGCTTTTTCAATACGACTAACAGTATACTTTCCTTCGATAAATAAGTTGGAATTTTCCACGAAAACAGATACAAGTCCAGTGTTTGATTTTGGAATATTAGCTATAAGGATGAGAGTTTTAGTAACAGCTTCGATGTAAACAAAATCTCAAGTATACTTACATTTTTTGAGATTCGCGATAACATTTGTGAGTACTGTTGCTGGACCTCCTTTCAAGCCATAACTTTAAAATTTTTCTCCAGTGGTTTCAAGAAAGACAAGACCTGTTATTTTTTCCTTACGAAATATTGCAAAGTCTTCGTCATCTAGTCTCAAATCCTTTTTTTCCAAATATTCAATTAACTCCTCGGTGCCATAATTTTTAACTATTATTACCGTAGTAACATAAATTTCTTTAATTTCATAAATTTTTTGAACTTGGAAAATTTGACCAATCAATCAATCTTTAGAAGACATGTGATTTCAAATAATATAATTAGTGTATCAGTTATAGATTCAGTCATGATTCAACAATATTTTTGCAATGTTCTTGTAACATTTTTGCAACGTTTTAAGATCATCAATGTCCTGAAATTAATAACAGTTCACAAATGGTTCAATAATGATTCAGAAATGCTTCAGAAATAGTTCAACAATAAATTTCATTTATTTTTATCATTTATCATTTCTTTTTAGAATATATATCTTATCTTTTTATT